ATGTATATTTTTCAAAATGAATATGGCCGGCTTCTGGCGCCATTTTGTACGTCTCCAAAGTATTTTTTTCTGTAAAACCTGTTGAATGGGATATCAAAATAAAGGGTTTCATAAATGAAAAATGAACAATATTCACAATACAATACATTAACGGGTTTTCTGTATTTTGCAATACTACTTGTTATATAATAGTACCTACTCAGATGGCTATTAAGCTTACAGCTCACAAATATAGTAGTTTTTGGACGTCAGCACCGAGTACACGCACGCGATGTCGACTCTGTAAAAACTTTTCAATGTCAATTAGATTTTTTTTCCAATCATTCTTATTTGACGCTTATACAGTATTATTAGCGTTACCAACTCTAAAATTAATAAAACTTATTTCATCTTATCATAATTTATTTCGTCGCATAATTTTAATAACACATTAATAACTCAGTTGCTTGTTCTAAAGTGAAATAAAGTACATACTCTGATATCGCAGCTGTGATCCACATGTTTTTACAAACGTAACACGATTGGCTGTTTAGCAATCAGCAACAAACTATAAAATGTGCATGATAAGATAACCTGCGCTCACAACACTATGTGGACCGATTTGTGATGTTAAAGGACTGTGTGTTTTACATACACGGCATTATTGAACACTATTACTGTACAAATGTTGCCATGTATGTTGCAGTTACCGAAACTATGGGAAAATTTGATAGCAGCAACACTTCTCCGACAGGGCACGGTTTGAATTGATTTGTTATGAGGTCGAGTTTCAATCAATTATCTGTGCAGGAGTGAAATTTCTCTTTATTTATAAAATATTGGGCGTAAAAACGATCTCTGCAAACGAAACTTCCACGAGATAATTACGCTTAACGGTGATATAAATTGGCTCGTAAAGGCTGTTTGTACACCTCGACCGAGTTTTATACTTACTTGAAGAAATGGCGCCCGCCGCCATCGTAAGCTTGCAAATCGTAAAAATTGTAAATAGATTTTTATAGATGTAGTAACAGTCAGTAGATCCACCCCAGAAAAATGTTGTTCATAAACGTACTGGATTTAAGTGTCACCAACCCTACCACGTTATAAAAAATTATCCCGGGCCTTACCTTGTTAAATCCTGACACCTCAATGAAGCTTCTTCTCTGCTGTAATTATATATTCTGTTAAAGAGCTGGGCTCAGACTGGCTAATCGACACTATACCTTAAGATTCAGTTGTCCAAGTTTTAGAGGGGATTCCATTGAACTTTCCTTAACTCGAAGTTTTCGGATCCGCGGGGATTGAATTCGCAGTTCTTCTATCATTGACATTGAATGTCATTTACAAGTGATAGAGCAACCCGCCTTGTCGACATGGAACTTTCGACCTTGGATCAGAATCCCGTATACGTAGGATAGTGTTGCAAACGCACAATGTGACGTGAGCCGGCATTGTGAGTGCGACAGGGCGAAATGTCCCGGAACATAGGTCGGTGCTCCCGGAAACGTACCATATATAGGACGTCGCGGCGCCGACACGCCGACCCTACACTTTCGTACATTGAAAATTTCAGAGCCGGTACGTCAGCATCCAATCATTTTGCTATTGATAACAATGGACAATGCCACCACATTACTAGCCAATGTCTGTGTAGTTAGCATTTAGAAAATTTTAGATATTTTCTTGACGATAATCTCGCAGTTAAATGCATGAATAGTTTGAAAGTTATACTCGTAGTTAATATATTACTATTAGTTATATTTATAAATTAAAGTCACACATTCAGAACTTTCCAGTAAACTCGTTCTTTACTAGTCTCAAAGTGATCGTTAAAATATACGAGTATATGAAATTGTAAAATATCAAGTAGTTCGCACACCGAGCTCCTCACATATTGAGGAGCTGCCAATGGAGATTAGGTTGTTTCATAACAGTTTCGAAACCTACTTACCTATTGAATGTTAAGTGCTAACATCATAAGTTTGTGCTATTCTTGCACTGACAGTAAACTCCTCGATATAATTGTGAATGCGGAGAGAACACAAAGGCAAACGCGATTACTAAACATCTCTTTATTTAAAAAAAGTGTGAAATTGTTCTTTGGACTTTGAATATTTGACATATGGATGTTATTCATCTAACAGAATATAGTCATATTTATTAAATATGACAAGTACATATTTCATCGCTATTAATCAATCACATTTTGATCATACGTTTGTTTGTAGTGGCACCTGGGTTTAGTACCATTAAGACTGGTCTCTAAATATTTAAAAATTAATTGATATTATATAAAAGCGACCGAAAGTTTATAAGATTTAAAAAAATCATAAAGATTTTAAAAAAATCTTAAAGATTTTAAAAAATATCGTAACGGCTCACGTGCCTGCACAACTCGTGTAACGTCAGCTAAATTTGCTCACATTTGAACACGGACCCGTCGTCGTTCAATCTGATATCTGTGAAAATATTGATGCAGTCAGCTTCTTAGCATATGGGTCGAAGAACCGTCAGACAAGTAAAACACAATACCAGAAAAGAAATCCGAATAAATGTAATTTTTTTTTTCTACATCTTCATGCACTCATGTACATCGGCGGACTTAATGCCCTGGGCATACTCTACCAGCCAACCTTTGGGTGGTGTAGAAATCTTGTAAGGAAGGTGCACCGAGGTTACAATTGTAATCCCTGATTATGATTTTTTCTTATCAATAAATTTATAAAACTAAACTTTTCATATACAATAAATGACACAAAGCTAAGGAAAAACGAATGTCTAGATTCCAAATTAAATTTAGATGTTGATATTGAAAACATCACCAGTAAAGCCTTTCGGTTGTATGGTTTCGTCGTGCGCTCTTGTAAAGGCTTCAAAAAGCCCACTACTTACCTTTTCCTAAATAAAGCATTAGTCCGTTCCCAGTTAGAGTACGCTGTAACTATTTGGAGTTCCTTTTATAAGAAATATAACAAGAGGATAGAAATGGTACAGAAAATAATTCTTCGTAAAACCTATTACAAATGTTTTCATTGTAAGATTCCTTATGTTGATCTTCTGAAACATTCTAAATTACTTGTAAAGACTGCAATGTATAATAGTTTCTTGTCCCAAATAAATAAAATATAAAATAAAGTACATAAATAATATACATATCAATGCATATTATTTATGTTCGTACACTGTGAATACTCGTACTAATAATAATAATATAATATTTTCACACATCCCACACACGGCCGACTAATCCCAAACTAGGCAGAGCCTGTACTATGGTAACCAGACTGCTGATAAACATTCTTATATATTTCTAAAAAAATACATACATAATTATTATAGATAAAGTACACCCAAGTACTGCAATATATATCTTTGGAATATAATATCTGTCATATCCTTCTAGATTTTTTTAGTTTGTTTTATTAAACATCAAGAAATTTAGATTTTGAAGTCTTAGACTAGTGATAATGTAAAGAATAAATCATTGGTCTAAAGAGATTCAGAGTATATTCGACATCACTGATGTTCCTTATTTCGTTATTGAAAATGGCTTTTAATGTACCCTAAGGTTTGCTTAGTGTGTCCTTTACCAGAGCGCTTTGTTTTATTCATCTCATCATTAGATATCGTATATCATCATTAGATACATAATTGAAATTGGAGTGTCCTATTTAAACCCTAAAAAAATATTTCCAAACCAAGATACTCAGCACAATTTAATGAACGACGATGATGTAATCCTACGTTGGTAGTTTCCAAGTTTGTGTCGTCTTTTCTTAAGCGAGACTCGTGTGTGCAATGTTACCTTATTGACCGATCTGTGTACTCCAGTTTCTAATGCATTCGAGTACTATGTCCAACTTGTATGCACCTGTCTTTCCACAATTTTGGTAAGTAAATTGTTCTGTTATCATATGTTCGTTATTGTAAGTTCCAAAGTTTCGTCAATGGTTTTTCGTTTACTACTAAAACAGCAAAATATGTATTTTCCACATGATTGATTGCGTCAATAATGTTATATCTATTTTTAAATCCGGTAACGTATAAACGTTATCTACTTAAGGTAATGTAGATTTGCTTATCTTGGCCTTATCGGTGGGTGAATCAAGTTATCTATCACTTTTCGCTAAAAGTAGTCTTAATGTATTCTCCAATAAATTGGTTCCCCTCCTGTCCACGTTTACATCCCAGTTACCTTAAAGACTTGGTTCCTACTTTTTTGGTCAACGTCTCCTCTTTACACTTCATTCCATTAATTTTAATGTCGTGAAAGGTTTAAAAAATATTGAAATACTAAAGAATATATAAATAAAAAATAAATATATAGATTTTTCAGAAATAAAAACTATCACTGATCAACAACTTTACAAATTAGACTAGGTTTTAAATATTTTTGACCTTGGCCAAAGGAACATTCACCAATAAATGTCGCTGCTGTGGAACCTTGAAATCAAAACTAGTGAATGTAATCATATTTATTGTTTTTTTTTTTATTTGAATTTGAGTCATCGTCCGAAAAATGCTTTCATGGGTTCATTGGCCATAAATCGTCTTCTGATTCCATGGTACATAGGAAGTGAGGCTTTATTTATAGAGTCGGAGGCGGCGCGGCACGCGTCGCTTGCGCATAGTGCCAGCGCCGCTCAGTCAGTGCCGAGGCCAGAGGGACGGCACTACGGCAGTACTCGCCGAGACTCTGTCACGGTCGGTGCGTAGCGCGTTTGGTCCACACCGCACGCCGTACATCGCCAGCGATCGAACTCGCTATCATCCGCGCACTTTTGAAGTCCTCCAAGAGCGCCAGTGATAATTTCGATACCGTTTCGCCAATCGCGAGTATCGCTCGTAGCGACGTGTACGATAAAGCTTCGGTGGCCGCCGGCTCTGTGCCGAATTGTAATTCTTTACGCTAACGAAACGTCGAGATTAATTATTCGAGAGTGCATTTATAGGGGGTTTTTGTTAAAATTTCATTATCCTTGTGTTAGTTGATAGTGTCGCGCGGTCTGTGAACTACGATGAGGCCGAAAGAGGAAATAGACACAAAAGTCCAAACAGGGACTTTTATATTATCTGAAAAAATTGATGACACTAAGTCGAAGAAAAATGAGAAAGATATGAAGAAAGAGATGAAGCGTCTAGAAAAGGAGAAGCAAGAACGAGAGAAGAGAGAAAAGAAGGCGAGGGAAAAGGAAAAGGAACGTGAAAAACAGGCCAAGAAAGGTTAGTTAGTACATATTCATCTGACAACATAGCGATACAGATTAGAGCGAGGCTGTAGCTTATCGTAGAGGAATGATATCATGATGTCATATAGATACTAAGCTGCGTCGCTTTCTGCGATTGACGTCTAACGCCAATTATGTTGGTTGTCATAAAAACGTATAAATTAATCCGTATCTATTGTTGTTGCGGTTACATCATTGCAGCTCATTATATGACCTTGATTGACGACATTTACCAAATATTTGTCGTTGATTGCTCAGTGTTTGCTATATCAACTAATAAATCCACTTTACACTTAGACTGTCCAATCTTTCGGTTTATCAGGATTCTGTCTCCGTGATTCACAATGGTCAAATGTAAACGATTCGGCACATTTGGTAGTTAAATTACGCGTCGAATTTGATTTGCTTGACGAATCGACCTAAAACTCGTTTTGTACAAACAAGGAATTAGTTGTTTCAATTCGCACGAACTTTTTTGTAAATGTACGCTTTTTTACATAACTCGCCTTATCGTGTCACATTAGTCGTAGTTTTTAAGTTTTGTCGATTGGTTACCGACGATTATAATTTGCATGAAATCATATGTACATCGTCGGTCGGTAGCATCGTCATCGTGTCGTTTACCCTTGTATTCTCGGATACCTAACTTTCTGAAAATATCGCCACGTGTGTGTTGCGACGGTATTTCGGCAAACTTTTCTCTACCAACTTCAGAATACTGTTTCTGTACCATCAGAGATAGTATTATGTTTTTGTTTGGTGTAGTAGGGATTATTCCAAGATCTGGACACCTTCACACCCCCTGCAACGAAAATTGTTTGACTATCCAATTGTGTGTTAATTAATGTAGTAGCAGGTACTGCAGTATCCTGAGCCCTTGGTGTGTACAGGGTATGGTAGAACAGTCAGATTAAAGAATAACTTTTAATTTTTAAATATGTATTTACAAATAGTAGAGGTCGAAGAATGCATCTGTTGGTGCAGTGTTTGTATAAGCTACAGTAACTTCCAGCTCGCCTCATAGTCATTTGATAGCATCTAGTTATTAAAAACTGATTTACTACTTCGGCTATATATCAAGTTAAACTTTATATTCAGTACTTTAAACGAGGTTGCTACATATAATCGCCTGGGTTTTGCCAAGCGTGGATTATTGCGAAACGTTTAACAACGTGTCCTCACAGAGCAGAATGACTGCTTTACTACGATGTTTTCAGATAACGATTGCGTATCTACATTCACCAATATTGCAGTTTTCTTCACTCGGTATTTACATTATAAGACTGACCGGTAGATCAATCAACATTTCACATTCGTGGGTACAGTCGCTTTTTAACTCTGGTTGTGTCGTGCAAAGAGAGCACAGAACGTGACAGCGCTTTACTTGAATAGTTGAACGCATAGATTTCATTGGGATTTATGCTCCCCTTTTGTATACAAAATCGTCTGTATCGCTGTCACGATTTCGCTTGCATTTCAATTAATTACAGTGGCTTTTAAATCAACTGAAGAGAAATTACTGGTAGTTTTGCGACGCAGCCCGTCGATTGGCTTGGCGTGTTCCTGCTTCTACTTATTTGGTGAGTTACAGCGAAACAGCTTTCTTGTTGATTCGTTGTTTCCTGTACATGAATTATTTACTGTAGTTTTCGTTTTCCTCGCCACCATTTCATCAATTTTTTCAGCAGCAGATTTTTTAAGAATTAGCATTCTTGTTTTCTATTTAATGGAATATTGTCTTTCTTTCACAAATGTCACCTTCTACTGCTAAATGCTTGAACTAAGCCTCACACTTGTGAAACTTATTTGGACAAGTGTGATTGTTACAAATAACTGACTAGCCTTCCACGTGACCTTCATTGTAAGATGACTATTGCGAAGTTGTTACTATTACAAAATGATATCCGCCTAAAATTTATTTAGCTGTACAATTATGGTGGAGTTGAGTGTATATCTCGTACGAAAGCTGATATTGATCGACCAATGCGTGTTACTTCGTGCGGCTCCACTGCGGATGAAATCGACTTCTCATCTCGCACAATGATTATTACTGCTATATTATCATTTGTTATGATACATTCTCATAACCGGGCTGCTGACGTCCGTCGGTGGCCTTATTGCCATTTAAAATATTTATTTGGTAATCGACATGAGTGTTTGACATTCAAAGTTGGTTTTTCGCTGTTATTGAGCGTACTGTATGTATTCAACTTGTAATTCTTGGTTGTTCTCTTCAGTTGCAGACGTTCATGGGCGGCGATGGTCACTTTCCATCAGGTGACCCATCTGCTCGTCGGCTTTCTCTAACATAAAAAAAAAATGTAATAGGTATTGTAGTTTAAGAACTGGGTATGAATTAACTTGTGTTTCAATTTCATTTTGTAGTGCATCCTACATTTAAACCTTAATCTAATTTCTCACGTGACACAAGGTGATATTAATTAGTTTTATTACGATGTTATATGCGCCAATTATCTAGTGATGTAAGGTTTAGCTCTGTGGCGAACAGATATCTTCCCTTTTAGATGATATGTCGAGAGTTTCACACAAAATGTTTTCTTGCGATAAAATGCATGCATTTTAGTAGTGACCGTAAATTGTATCTTTTAAAAAGCAAAGTAAATAATTTATGTTAATAATGATTGGGCAAGGCACAAAATTACAAATGTCATTAACAGAGAAACTTTAAGAAAACTGAACTGATGTTTATCTGTAATCTAAACCTCGAAATATTAAATAACATTTCTCAAATAAAAAAGAAATAACAGTTTTAACATCTATGTTAATGCAGATGTATGTTATAGACACATGCTGTTGTTTACAAAAGGAGGGGCGTCATTCAATCCAACTGATAGTGTTTGCTACCGTAACTGTATGTTATAATTACGTCCAAGTACTCTGTTCTATATTTCTAGCCTGTGCTCTATGATCTCATCCGACCTCTGTGCGTTGTATTGTTGAATTAGCCTTATAATATACGAGGCTTTAAATCTCAGCTCATATGTACGTTTCTGTTAGGGTTTTTAGTATTTATTTTTAGCATAAAACCTATTATTTTTATTGTCTGTTTTGTGATGAAACTTATCAGTCTTGCAATAGAATTTTGCAGCTGACTTCTTTTTCTTTTCTTTCTCTCTACGTCGTCCAAACATCAAGTTTTGTTGACGCCCTTTTTTTCTGTGCGGCAATTCCCTCGGATACCACCAGGTTTATTGCAGTTAAAAGTAACCTTAAGGCAAGAGGAGCAAGACACTACGACTATACTGTCTGGGTCCTCTACCTTCTCCGATAGAGGTATGTTTTCAGATAGTTCCATCTACATTTGTAAGCCTTAAAAAGATTATGTTTACATTTGTTGTTCATGTTCAACTGGTTCATTTCTTATTTACACCTCATTTTATTTTATCGTCCCTAAACTGCACGGAAATACTTTCGAAAGTGAAAATGTCCTTTAGTGAAACGTTTGGTGTATAGTTATCATTTATAACAGTGTTGTAACTTCGTGACTCGGGTACAACTTTACAGATTAGACATCAGCTTTGCGCTCAAAGAGATCCGTGCGGCACATCGATACACGCTGTTAACATTGTTAACATTTTCCGCTAATCTATTTGTACTATGAGCTCTAAGCTTTAATTTATGGGTGACAAAACTTCACATAAAACAACTGAATAATTTTGTATAGATAAAGATAAAATATTATGCCATAACTTTATTAAATAAGACAGAGAAAAAATTAGTAGACTACTTCGCTCAATTCAAACTGCGGCTACCATAGCACCACTACACAGAGTAGGTTTTTGCTATAGGTTAGTAGGGTCATCATCGGTTCATTTAAGCGGTTGAAATATGTTAAGTATGATAATTGGTGTTCTAAGTATCTATAAACACTGCAAATAGCTTAGTTCTATTGCCTGTTTAGTCGAAGTTTATATCATACACACAACCAATAACATGATTGAAAATATAGTCGCGCGAAGTAAAATATAGTGCATAATTATTTTGAATAATATGAAACTAGTTTAATGTACAAAAATAAGTGGCGCGTTGTCAGGTTCAGCGCGGCCCCGAGCCTGCCGTGCACGTTTTTGCGCGTCGCCGTCTCGGAACGCGGCCGCCCAATTAAGTGTATGTACGTGAAGCGATGGGCTGCACATCCACTTGACGGCGTATGGTTGCAGTCTTCCCTGAACCCCAGAACTGTAACAGTCGTATTATGTTGGTTTTTCTACTCAATGGTTCCTTGCAAATACAGGTTTTCATTTTTGTGTTTGTGAGTTGGCGAACTAAAGTAGAGGAATGTTACTGGCTATGACTGCTGCTTCTGATGTTTTTTTATCTATGTTGTCAAAATTAAGTTCAGAACTACATTTATAAGTTACAAACGCTGTATGTATACAAAATGTGAATTTGTTCCTAGAGGTATGTCATATAATATTGTCTCCCTGTTTGGGACCCAATTTCTTGGAGTTGTAGTAAGTGGAGTAGTAGTAGTCTTTTCGACTTCTACTCATTTCTTTTTTAGTTGTTATTTCTTTTATGTCCTTTCATTACCTTATTCGTTTTCAAACACAATACATAATTTTCGCCATTCGCATACATTCATCATTATATTGTTTTTGCGTTTTCAATGTTTGAAGCCAATGGTAGTTCCGCTACGAGAATAACTACAATAAACACACATGATATCCATGATATCCATGATTGTCCCCACTAAAAATTATAGCGGTAGAGCTAGGGCCGGTAATGATCAACAACTAATAACATGATTACTCTAAAGAGTTTACCAAATTAGTCGTATACAAAAAAGAAACTAATAATGTGTACATTTCGTGCTGTACTTCGCTTTAGCAGTAATCATTATCTCATAAGATTCCAAATTAATTAGAGTTTATAAAAAAGCAGTCCATGTCGCCCGCGTCGTTGTGGTGATGCAAGTGGCGCTGTTTGTTACTACCTACTGTAGTTACTGCCTCCGGTCCGTCGCTAATGATT